AAAATGTTATAGTCCAGTGCGGTTGACTGTACACGTATTTTTTATAATTATTGTAATTATATCCAACCCGTCTTGCCAGCGTAGGGAGGGAGTGTAGGTCAAGTATTTCATTTGCTATTGGTGAATTGAAGAGCTCTTGTAGTAGGGACTGGCCTGATGATGATAATGTACAAGTTATTTCTTCTTACATCTCACCTTACCTTGGGATAACCATTATTATAATATATAATGTAACTTTGCCAATAATTTGATTGTGGCTGGTCTACTGACTCTACTTTTACTAGTGAAACTCTTCCCTGTAGTACTGTGTACAATTAACAGTGTATGGAAATAAATATTCCCGCCTTTGTAAGGACTAGACGCGTGGAGCTAAAAATAAATCTTGCTTCTGATTTTCCAGGCAAAAGATTTTAATAGATGTTGCTGGCTTTGTAAAATAGCTTATTAGGGTATAATTAAAATAAGGACTGATTTAGCTTTACATTTTCACCTACTATATTTAGGTGCTTATACGTTTTCTGACATTCGATCTGCAATTACATTATTCAGTTAATCGGTAATACTAAAAAAATCGATTAATCAGAACTGAAGGCGAAGGTCGCGGGAAGAGCCTGGATGCGGGCAACGCAGGACCGTTCATTGTGGAAAACCTTAGGGACGGCCTTTGTCCAGCAGTGGACGTCTTTCGGCTGAAACGAACAAACGAACGAAGCAGAACTGACGGCCAATGTGGCAGCAATGTTCTAAAGTGGAGGCCACGAACCAAAAAGCGCAACGTGGAACATTAAGCCACGGTGGATCGACGATCTCATAGGTAGCAGGAAGGCGCTGGATACAGACCGCTACCAACCGGTCAATAATGAAATCATTGGGGAAAGCCTATGTCCAACAGTGAACGTCCTAGCTGAAATGATGATGATGATGAATCGATTAATAAATCTATTATGCGGCAACACCAGCCCCATTGTTCCTCTTTAAACTATACCGAACTGCCCCTTTAAAATTACAGGGCGGGTTTGCTTAAATGAGTGCGAGGACTTTCCAGCTGACCCAGTAAACGTTTGACATAATCAAAGCCGACGCAAGCTCGATTAATATCCGAGAGTGGATTGAACTGACGGCTAGTATTACTGTAAGCGATTGAAAATAAAGCCTTTATTGGAAAATAAACCATCTTTTTTGTGTGATAAAGATTAGATTCGATTAATGATTATGTCAATAAAGATTTTTTGTATATTTTTGCTACGAGAAAGCAATGAGGATGAGATAGAATCGTCTTGTTGTTAAGTTCAAAATGGACGTGGACATCATGAATTTACTTTGATGATGACGTCATTGATGACGTCAATCGATGATATGAAATGTTTTAAACCGTTACAGGCTCTACTTATTTTCATTGCAAATAATTTATGGAGAAAGTTGAAAATTATGAACTGCTCAACCGAAACTTACTCTAAAAGTGTTTCTACTCCTACCTAGACCTAGTCCTATCCTGTAAATATGATATTTACACAATTAATATACATACATACCTACATAACAGCTTGCATAATGACATAAAACATTAGGTCGCGTACAAAACATGAAATACGGTCGTGCGACGCCGTCTGTCATATTGCATCTACATTATTTTCCAAGACCAGAGAGCATAGAGTGCCTCGTTTGTGGTGTTTTGAAAAAGTCACATGGCGTTAAGATAGGTGTACATTTACTGATCTCAACATTGCTATTAACTTTATATTCCAAAGGTACGTTACCAATTTGACGTTGACAAGTGAGTCACTAATTTGTTTCTCTTATGTTGCCTTTGTGTAGTGTAAATTTAATGTAAAAGTTGTATGTTTAAATTCATCATAAGTAGGCAGCAAACCGCGCCTGAAATTGTTAAATTATACATTTACTGCAAAAAGATAACACTTAATAATATATGCAACTAACTATGTATCCTATACTACAGCATTTATCTAGACATGTACACTGAAAAAGTCTTAGTAAAAGATTAGATATTTTAAGTCTGTTGTTTATTTTGTGTCGAATAAAGACTTTTCTATTCTATATTCTACTTATTTGAATTGTTTTTACTATTTATGCTATACCAGTTCCAACTGAGTCATATCAAAAATAAGCATTTCAGATTTAAAAATCAAAATATACAATGCTTCATTTCAAATCGAAGCTGTATCAAGCTGTCAGTTTATCCGATTTGTTTTGCGAGATAAGCATTGATTTGAAAATAAACAAAAGCTCGCGAATTTATGGCGCCAACTAAAAATGACCGGTAAAATAACGATTTGTGTCCTCAGTTACCATAGATTTTTTTGAAAATCTATTACAGATTGTCACAGTTTTTCAGCTCTGACATGATTCATTGTCTATTCTGTTTATTTCAAACTCGGGCTTTTTTTTTCATCCAAATTGCATCTGACTGTGTCCTGTCTGTATTGATTTAACTTAGTACCTATAAAATTGTTTTACTGCCACGGAATTTTGAGAAGCGGAAAGGTGAATTTTTTTAATTACTATTTTTGTCCAAAATGTTAATTAGGTTAATGTGGTAAAAGGGAGTCATCTGTCCATAATGATGCTAATGAATAATTACTAAGCTCTCTTTTAGAACAACAACTGATATAAAAAATACACAATATTGTTTTAAAACTCATACGATTGTGTGTGTGCACTAGCCTTAAATTTAAGAGCAATGCACACGGCGCCGTGACTTTTCAACCATTATGATAGTAAAGTAAGTTGATTGCTCCCCATAGTCTGGAAAATTACTCCACACCCCGTTGGTTTCTGCGGTCTGAAGAGAAACTAAGAAGTTATTGATGGAGCGTCTCAACTATCTCACAAATTACTTATCAAAGTGTTACTATAAACTTATGAAAATTATAAAGAACTTGAAAAAATCGAACTGCCTAAGGCGGGAATTGAATCATACTTAGAACAATCTTATTAAGAACGTTTGTGCTGAAAACTAAAATATGCTTTGATGTGTAGAATTCTTAAACCAATCTCACTAAGAACGTCAACCCTGAAAACTAAAATATGCTCTGTCATTTTCTTCATGACAATGTTATTACTTCACCTCAATTGCAATGCGTCGCCAATATCTATCGCATAGACTTAACCGCAACTTTGCAGACACACTATTATCTGGGAGGAGAGTGGGGTATCTAGGTGCGATCGATGAAACAGCCTTTGTTCGAATTTAAACTGTATTACATGAGACCAAGACACAATTTAACAAAGCGCCAGGTGTGTAACTTTAAGTGTGTGTGACTATGACGGGAAAATTGATTATAAGTAATCCATTTTGTTACAAGAAACTTGGAATAGATCTTGGTTTGTGTTACATTTATTGTACACTAGCTGACCCGGCAAACTTTGTTCCGCCTTAATGGCAATAAATAAGCAGACTTTTTTTTTTAATTTCGAAAGGGATAAAAGGTATCCAATGTCCTTCTCCTAGCTCTAAACTACCTCCCTGACAATTTTCAGCTAAATCGGTTCAGCCGTTCTTGAGTTATAAGCGAAGTAACTAACACGACTTTCTTTTATATATATAGATTATTTTCAACATGCTTGAGTATAAGAAGTTTAGTTTATGAAAATGGTTTGTAAGGAATTTGAAAAGTTTTAGCAATATTTGATTCGATTGTTGAAAATTTGTAGAACTTTCTTGTTTCATTTCAGTTTTAAATGAATGAAGTATTTTTTTTATTTCACGACTCTATACGTTTTTTTGCTAATATTTTTTCACATAATGTGAGTTGCTGCTTGCTGGCCACAAATTAATTAATACTTTAAATAAGTAAAAAAAGAAATGGGTTTTGAATCTTGAAAATATGTTCTAATCAAGAAGAGATGAAAATGATGTATCATAACATTCATTGTTTATTAACTACAGTGTCTAATTAACTTCTCTATTAAGTTTTACACATAACACCCTACACAAAACACTACCTCGTCCCTGCGCATTTACACGTGTACATTGTTTATTGAATACACATGTATCTATTGTTCTGAATTTACCAATAGAAATTACATAACGGCTACGTGACTATAGACGGTAGGTACCTATACTAAATAGATAATTACCTCCGAGAACATTGTTTGCTATGTTGTTAGTAAATCCTTCGTATATCTACTGTTAATATCCTACGATCCTACTTGTATTATAAATGTGAATGTTTGTAAGGGATGTTTAAATGTTTGTTACTCTTTCACACGCAAAAACTACTGAACGAATTTTGAAACTTTACAGATTTTTCGTTCATTCCTCAAAATAACATACTTTAATTTAAAACTAAGGGCTGATTTTTCATTCGTCGGATAACTTTTAACTGAAGAATAAGGCCATGTTCGAATGGCAAAATTTTGACGCGCGTTTTCAAATCGCGCGACTAGACATCGTAGTATTTACATACAACCAATCACATGAGCGTGGGTTAACGCGCGTCAGCGAGGGTTGACGCGGCGATTGATCTGCGTTAACGCGCGTTACATGTGAACATAGCCTAAGTATGGCACATTGACAGTTTCAGTATGGGTCATATTATTTCAAAACAACAAGTTTATTCTTCAGTTAAAAGATATCTGGCGATTGGAAAATCAGCCTTAACTTAATTATTACAACTATAAGTCGGTATGTCTGTGACAAGCTGAATTTATTAGCAAAAGCTATCTGGTAAATATATCGTAAATGTCAACGTGTGAAGCGATGGAAGTGCGCGCATAATTACTCGTAGGCCGACCAATAGTAGCGTAATTAAAGATTTGAGCGCGTGCCAGGCTCGTGTTCAAATGAACACAAGCGCAGCGAAATAATCGTCGACTTCGGTATTGATCCCGTATAAATTGTTTGTTAAAAGTGACATAGAAACTTAACAACACAGTTAAAAAAGTTCTTACTTCACCATGTCGCCGCGTCGTGTATGATTTTTTTATAGAGTAATAAATATATCAAGAAATTTTATTAATAACATTTTTTTTTGTTTCAGGTAATGGATTCGTTTAATTGGAATTCGGCCAACGAGGATGCACTATGAAAAAGGTTTTCTATCTAACGAAAGAACTTTGACAAATCAAAGTTACATTTTTTAATGATATGTGAGATGTTTTAGTCTGATATATTCTGCTCGTGTTATGATGTTGACATTCTAGAAATTAAAACGTACTTTCTAGATATTTCCCACTAAAATCATACGGGTATCCCTCTTATAAAACTCTACGACGTTGGTCAAAACTTTCTAGAATTTTTCCGACTAAACCAGCGTTGCCAGTTTTTTTTTTACGCCAAGTCGGGACTTTAGTACTTTTTGAGTGAAAATAGCGGGATTCTTCCGTCAGAAGCGGGACATGGTAAAAAAACGTATATAATCAAAGGTTTTTCAAATATTTATCTTTTTATTTGACTTAAAATTACGTTTACGTGACAATCGATAGCAAAACTAGCCATAGAAAATGTATTTTAACAAAAAAATAACATTTTAAATCAGATTTACTGTAACGATAGAGTAAATCTGATTTAAAATGTTATTAATTCGTGTTTAGAATAAAAAAGAAAAAAAATCGAAATAAAAAAAATATTCTTTAGAATAATATGTGGCGTTTCAAACAATAGTCTAGTGAAGTGAGTGTCTCTCTACATTTAAATTTGATTTAAAAATCGGGACGTCCCGCCAAAATCGGGACGTCTGGCAACGCTGGACTAAACTCACACGGAAATCGCTCTTCCAAGTCTCTACAACCTTGGACAACCTATTTTCATCGGTTGTCCTAGTCAAAACAAACGAAAGGTGGCATTGTTTTCGCTCGATTAACTACCAGACGCTCGATCGATTGCTGATCTTAATCAAACGCGTATTGAAAACTAATCAATCTTTGAACTATAAATAGGATTAATAGACGTTTTACATACAAGTAAATATATTTCACTACACTCTTTCAAAATTAATATTTTACCAGAGCGTACAAAAAATGGCCCATGTGATTTTAAAGTTGAATTTGGATGCAAATATCTCTATCACGCTACATTATTAAATTTATGCTCCGGCTGCATAAATCCAAACCACAAACGCTAATCGTCCGCCGTCATCGAATGGCAGCTGTCATTCGACACCCGATACAGCTCAAACAAAGTGCCAAGCGCGAGTATATCACAGCGCGATCACTCCAAAGCCATGACGTTTGGTAATTAATCAAAATGGCGGATGGCTGGAATCAGTGAGAAACACAATACGCGTCATTGCGTGTCATGGCGTGTAGGATAACACAGCGACATTAAACAAGCCGTGGTTACTTCAATTACGCACACTGACAGGTTTGAAGTCAAGTTAATGAAAATACGGTATTTGACACCACTAATCAATTGACGTACTTTTTAAAACTGTCAAAACAAGACTCTATCATAGATTTTGTATGGCAATACAAGCCAATGACGTCACTGTTTTGTCCACTCGATTAAACTACTTCTTTCAATTACAAAGGAACCAAAAATCTTAATTTACAGGTAATTTAAAATTAATTAAGTTTTTAAGACCAGAAGAGTGTCTGTGAAAAAAGTTTTGCTTTAGAATTATTGGGGAATGATTTTAGAATATACTCTATTTTGTATGGCTAAGTATTGGATTTGGTCTCAATCTCAAGTTTTTAAAACGAGGAGAATACAGCAATTTTCGAGTACCTATACAGTAAAATTTTGATATCATTTTCATAAATCTCAACCATTATTACGACTAATCATCATCATCACTCACTCATTAGTTACGTGTTGTATTTTACCACAGATTATACTCATTAACAAATACCTTCCATCCATTAGGTTGCACGTAGCTTTACAATTTCGCGATTACAAACACCGCGGCCTTAATTATTTTAGTCAAATCACAAAGGCGAGGTAACATTGTTGTGGCAACACGTTAATGGCAAGTCAGAAACGTTGCAAACAGATTTTTATTGCTACTGCGTTTAGTAATAAAATCATTGTGAAAAAAACTGGTGAACAGTTATTGGAAGTCCATTATTATTATGCTGTTTTGTTTTTTATATCATGTCAATTAATTGTTATTGTCACCACTATCAAGAACATTAATGTAGCAGGAAGGCACTGGATGCAGGCTGCTACCAATCGGGCGATGTGGAAATCATTGGGGAAATGATGATGATGATTCAAAACGAGTCATCACCCTCATATCTCGTCACTACCTTGTTTAATATACCACGCAATCTTGTATACCCATTCTTATAAGATACACCATACAAGAATGCATGGTAAATTCAGTGAACTGCTCCTGAATCGAATGTACCTACTACTACTATTTCTATTTATTTATATTAACCGGCAGACAGTGGTGACTGAGTTTGTTGCGGCGCTTCTTCTCAGCACTTGCCAAATGTTGGTCTCGAAGCGCTGGTAGGGTAAAAAGATTATGAGACATGTAGAGGCTCCTTAAGAGCAAAATGACGATTTGTAAGAACTATTTATTAGTCCAAACAAATAAAGAAATTTTGACTTTGACTTTTGACTTTGACATAACCACGTGTTTGTATATTGTATTTGCCTAAGACTAAAGAAGCGGAGTTAAACTTTAAGTCAACAAAAACAATTTAAATGCTATGAACTGAAGCTATCGCTACAAAGTGATCATTCATTCTTTTCGAACAATGAGACAGAACGGCTCGTCGAAGAGCGAATAATAGACACAGAAAAGTGTTAAGTGATTGGTAAAGTTGCCGTTAAACAGTCAATTAGAGAAATGGATATTTAATGCGCAAATTGATTGTTACTGACGCCAGATTAAAGGCAAGTCTGGGGCGAGCGGATACTTATGAATATGCATCGGAAAAAGTAACTCCTGTTGGACTAAGTTACTGATTGAGTTCCTTTTCTGCCAATAAGTTGCGATATGAATAAAATTGCTGCTTGAATTCATCGAAGAAAAAGGCCTTTGCAATAAGCTCAAGCCAATTTTGTAAAATAAGTAACTACTGATATTAATAAAATGTTAATGCTGCTTTGCTTTTTATAGCATTTTTTTTTTTATTTCAAAGGCGAGAGTGAATAAGAAGCACTTAGGTTGATACGTACCATCCTAGACAGCTGCATCTCACTTAACATCAGGTGCCATTGCTAGATGCGATATAGTTATCGCATTATCAAAATTACCTGATAAAGCCATTTCGTTTTAGAAACGTAAACAAGTAGTATTGTTATATTGCACTAAGTTACCATAATTGTAATGTGATTTACACCCAATAATTTAAGTCCCTTCAGAACATTTCTTTTTTTCAGATTAAAACCATAATAAAGAACTAAATTGTATTTTGAAAGACTTTTTCGGACAAACGAATACTCGTAGTTAATTGTTGAATATGCGACATTTTCAAAATAGCATACACCTACCTGCCTTATTTAATTTTAACAAGAAGTCCCTCAAAAATCCAAGACAAATCCTTACAAACGAATTGGCAAAAGATCTTTTTCAGCGCAAAATTAGATTGCTTATCAGCTTTTTTCATTGCATTTCCCGTTTGCGGTCCCCCTTCATCGTTTGCATTCAGGTCTTGTTCGAGGTCCCTGTTATATCACTGACCTATTTAGTACCACTGTAGATGATACGGCAGTAGACTCATTACTTACAAAAAGAGCGTAAACTATTTAGAATTTCTTGAAGAAAAAATTACGATGCAATTTACTCGTAAAAAATATAAAAACGCTTGGCAATTGTTTAGTCTTCGGTTTCATTCTGGGAATCAGCCTCTAAGCTATAAACAAAAGTAGGGTTATTTAATAATCTTACAAACATCTAGAATAACTATAGTAAAACTAAGTATTAGCTCATTCTCCTTGAAACTATGAAGTACTAGCGGCCGCCCGCGACTTCGTACGCGTGGATCCTGTTTTACCCCCTTTTCCCGAATTTTCTTTGCTATAAACCTCACGGAGCCCGAGACCTTTCTAACGAATGCAAAACCGTGGAAATCGGTTCGTACGTTCTGGAGTTATAGCGTCAGGGAGGAAAACCCGACTTATTTTTATATAGTAGACTAGCTGACCCGGCGAACTTTGTTCCGCCTTAATGGCAATAAATAAGCAGACTTTTTTTATTTCGAACGGGATAAAAAGTATCCTATGTCCTTCTCCTGGCTCTAAACTACCTCCCTGACAATTTTCAGCTAAATCGGTTCAGCCGTTCTTGAGTTATAAGCGAAGTAACTAACACGACTTTCTTTTATATATATAGATTTAGATTACTAGGTTAGCCAATTGAATTTTTCTACTTGGCCCAAAGATTCAGCAGATAATGTCTTACTGAATGTACTTTTTATGTGACATGTAATTGAATTGTTTTTGTTTTTTTTTTAGATTTTTAGTAATTAATTTGTTTTTGCAGAAATTACTAATAGTCGCGTAAGCCCCTCGCACTAAGCTAAATATGCTTGTGTCACGAGTGGGCTCACTACAATAGTCGAGCGGCGGCGGGATTCGAATCCGAGTTCTCCGGATCACGAGTCGGCCAGTCCGACCCCTCCACCGTTCGGAATTTTAAATTAATGGAAGAGCGTTGCTCCCTGATACAGGCTCATTAGCTTAAAAGGGCGCTACGATCACTAATTAATACAATATAATGTACCCATTGTTATGAAATAAATTATTTATTTATGATTCTATTGTGGGCTACCGCATACCTCCCAAGTAGAATGGGAGAGTGTCGTCGTAATGGTTTTTCCTTTGTCTTTTGACTGGCTCAATTGTAATATGATTCCCAAGATTAAATGCAATCCTGGCTGCGGCTTGATTGAGTCTGAATATGGTTTTCTGGTCTTTGTCAAACTGAATCCTAACCACACTGTCATATTGAGCTCTTTTCTTCCCTTTCATAAAGCTTATTCTACTTTTTAACTTCTGCCTTCGGCTTCGCCCGTGTGAATATTAAATTTGCAGTTTTTTACAGAAATACCTACCTAATTGTAATTGTAATTTCATCGATGTGGGTTAACACTACCTACCTACTGTTAAACACTTTCTTTCTAGCTTTTTCCTGCG